CCCTCCCCAAACAGCCTGTTCCAGTGCTCTGTCACCCTCACAGGAGAGATGCTCAACAAGTATCGCTCAGCTGCACTCCAGGAGAGATGGCGCTTGGCAGCTCAACATGTTCCTGCACAGCCTTGGGGCGCAGCTGGAGCTGGCCCAGCCAGCACACAAAGCTCAGGCACACAAGGACACAGCTTTGAGAAAAAACAGCCTGTGGCCAGGAAAGCCTCCAGAACAGCAAACAGCTCTGCTGTTCTCTGCTCTGCATCCCCTCGGCAGTCTGGTTCAAGGCATGCCTCCTCTCCCTGAGGTGTGGATCAGAAGCCTCCCTCCCAGCACTGTGGGAGAGGAAAGGCTCAGCCCCAACACGAGGCAGCAGCACCCACAGTTCAGGAGACTCCACAGCCCCTTCCCCAGCCAGGCCAGGAGCTGCCCACATGGCTCCAGGAACAGGGCGGACACGGGCTGTGGCAGTGGCAGGGTGCTGAGGGTCAGCCTGCCATCTCACACCCAGAAATCAGGCAATGCTGCACGATTAAAAGGAAGGGACAAGGGACAGATGCTTGCAGCCACCAGACACGGTAAGAATTGCGGGACCAAGCCTCGTCCACTCAGGGAAGAGTCAGGGTCATGGCCTTCATCACCACCTGCCTCCAGTCAGACCAGGTACAGGCACCTCAGGCCCGACCGCTTTTCCCCCCACATGCCACAACCTGTCCCCACAGGCCACAGGCCACACCACAGGCTGCAGGAAAGTTTCCACAATTTCCTACCCCATCGAATAGGGTCCTGCTATGGACATACAGAGCAGAGTGTAAAATCAGGCCCATCCCTAAAGCAGTTCCTCCCTGGTAAACTCTCTGAGCTGCCAGCAGTCAGGAGTGTTCAAAAGCATTTGCTTTGAAAGATTACCTGTTAACACAGCTCTGCTTGCCCCTGCTCGACAGGGTGCCCTGGGCCACCCCAGCAAGGAGGAGGCAGCAGTCACATCTCATCTGCACGGTGCTGCTGGATGACGACAACGGCCGTGCGTTCCACCCACTCCTGCCGCTTGGCTCTCCACGCAGCCGACACCACGGTGTGTTCTGAGTGCCCTGCTCCTGCGGCTGGGCAGGGCCCAGCTCGGAGCCTGCTGTCACCGGAGGGTCGAAGGACGAGTTGCTGTTGAAAGCAGAGCTAGGACTGGGTTTGGGCGGACTCTGTTCTTCTTCCCACGACTGACTCAGGCTGCCCAACAACGAGGGATCCGCAGGCTCTGGGCTGGGCCTCTCCAGCACAGCTTCCTCCGGCACGTCAGGTGCAGCCTGACGAACCTCGCGGATCTGCCGTGACAGCACTGCAAGAGAGTCAGAGACAGCCTTGTCATTCCTGCCTTGAAAGCGGTGCACGCCAGCCTCTCGTGGTCCTGATCCGATCACAGGCCAACACAGAGCCCACAAACGGGAAACAAGCTGTCCAACCAGGGCTGCCTCCTCCCAGTGAGGCAGGGAGAGGACGCTGCCAGGCACAAGCACAGCTTATGCTCCAGGAGGGGCTGGATACGTCCAGCTCCGGTACTGCCCCTGGCACAGGGCCCTGCCCCAGGCAGGCCTCCACAACATGGATGAGGAGGAGTCTGGAGCTGGGGCAAGGCAGCAAAGCCAAACCAGGCAAGGGCCTGCGGAGTTGGAGGTGCCCCAGAGTTCAGGCTGTCTCTGAGGAAGGTGCTCTGCCCCAGAGGGCAGTACTTCACCTGGAACCATGCCTTAGCCCCCCAGCACTCACCTCTCAGCTCTGGCTGCAGCTCTCGGCTCCCAAATGAGTAGAAGCTGGGAGACAGAATGAAGCAGAAGGACAGAACCAGGACCTGGAAACAGGAAGAACAGCAAAACCCTCAGTGAAGGACATCACCAGCCCCAATAAACACCTTTCTCCCATACTTATGGGGAGAGCAGAGACCCTTTCACAGACACTGGGGTTGAAGCCACTCACCATGATGCAGGTGCTTGCTGTGGTAGTTTTGGTAGTGGACTGTCTCACCAAGGCCTGCAGTTTCTGCAGCTGCTCAAGCAGTGACCTGCAGGAAAGCAGGCAGTGCAGGTTAATGCAGCAGCTGAACAAAGAGCTGCACTCCTCTCCTGCCCTTTTGCGGCCAGGGACAGAGCACAATCCCAAGAGGAACAACATTCCCCACCAAATCTTCTGCCACGCCCAACAAGAACTCACATGTTCTGCTTCTGCAGCACCTGCACTTTCTTCTGCAGCTCATGGTTCTGAGCCGTGCAGGCTGCCACCCTTCCCGGGAAAGATGAACAGCACGGGGGAAAAACAGAGAGATTTTGTTAGTGAATAGCAGGGACTTCACCAGAGTCTCTCCCTCAGGGAATCACCCATCAGCTCCAGGTGGCTGGGGTTTACCTGGCACCAGCTGGAGCAAAGCCTAAAGAATGACATCTCACACCAGGTTTGGGGAGGGGTAGGCCCTGCCCAGTGCCACAGAGAAGCACCAGATTAACCCCTTAGGACGCTACCTCCCAGCAGCGCAACAGCCCTGCAGATCAGTGACACCGGGCTGCGTTACAAGCTGGCCTGACCTGGAGAACATGCTGGACCTGGCAGGCCAGTACCTGGCTAAGACAGAGCATGCTCTGCCCTGAGCCTCTTTAGAAGACCACAGGAGTCAGCCTCACTTTCTGCCCAGGGTGGCAAGACCCCAACTGTGGCACAGCGTGGCTGCTGTATGCCCACACCTCTTTTCCAAGCCATCCATGTAGATCTTCTTCCTGCGACGGCTATCCTGGGCCGACTGCTTGTTCCGGATCTTTCGACGCACCTTCTTAAGAAGCTGCTCTTCAGCCTGCAAGGACCATTTCTCATTAGCAGCCACCTCCAGGGTCTTGGCAATCCAACCCTCAAAAATCCTGCATACATCTCAGCGCTCAGCCCTGCTTAGAAACACTGCAACCCACGCGCTTTTGTCCTCTGTCGCTCCAACACCACCAAATGAACTGCATGAGCGGCAAGGCAAACTCCAGCCTGCCGATGAGGCCGGCAGCTTCTCCAAAATAGCAGAATGATCATAGAATCATAGAACAGTTTCGGGTGGGGGGACACTTCGAGGCAAACCCGGCCAA